TGAAAGCTGGAATCCCTTAATTATGCATTTCAGTAACTTGAGTAACAAGGTTGAGTCATCTTTGAATATTCTACCCAATAAACCTATAACCTCTAATTCTGCTAATCACAAAAAGCTTCAATGAAGTGATAAATATGTAAATTGTATGACAAAGTGACTAACAGTTTATTCGGCTTAGCTGCTATAAGCTCTTGAATTATCAACCTTACTATAAGCGTGTTAAAGGAGTTTTTCTTTAAGCCCATACTTGCCATGAACGATTGAATACACAAATAAAATAAGCATTACTATAAGACATAAAAGGAGAGAAAGAAAGTGACTTCCTCTCAGAAATCAAATAAAAAGTGTTATTTTGGAAAGTACATACATATTCCAATTAGATTTAGTACTTCACACTTTCAAGATAGAGTTCAAAATCGATTGCACAATTTTCTGCAACTACCAGGCGTACATAACACTAAAGAGGTTTAAATGAATACTTTAGGAATTCTCAAACCCTTCTACATACATACATAACCTCACGCCTGTCTCCCATGGGGGTAGGCAGAGACTAAGGAACGCCAATTACTACGGTTCTTACATACCTCTTTCGCTTCATTAACTCATGATTCTTTCGTCATCAAACCCTACTGAATTTATTAATTAAAGTACATATTAGTGGTAGACCACAATATACTAGTTCCAAGTCACCATCTTTTGTCTTCCCGGGGGAGTCGCAAGAGTCCACAAAGAACTAACTAAATGCACTGTTGACAGCAGCAGCGATATCTAACAAACATGAACCTTTAGAACTGCTAATCTACTATGTATAGAGATTATGGCAAACCTTATTATGTAGAGAAGGCTACTATAGTCCACCAGTGGACTGTCTCTGACAATTTATTGATAATTTTACCTTTATTCTTTAAAAAGAATATATATAATAGAGTAAAAAATAACTATTACTAGTACTGATAGGTTACCCACCTACACTGATAGGTAAGAAGGCCGAGTGGTTGCGAATGCGACTGCCGGGCAAGGGGTCTCGGGTTCGATTCCCGGGTCGGGCAAAGTATTACTGGGGTTTTAAAAAAATATCAGTAGTAGCACGGAGTCTGGAATTGTGCGCGGTATATGGCAATAGGCTCACCCCCTATTACATGGGACTGATTACATAAATAGTGAAAAGTGGGTGTTACTTCTGTGTACACCTCTGCCTACCCCTTGGAGGATAAAAGGCGTGACGTTATGTTTTATGTAGAGTCAGAGTCAAGAAGACTTTTATTAAAAGCTTCTTGACTCTGATTTGATTTAAACTACTAAATGATTCCTAAACTATCTCATATTACTTCAAAAAGCAACCTTACCAATATTATAAAAAAGTACAATTTACAACTACACAAGAATCAGCCATTTATTTCATTTAATTCCCAAGTTCACGTTAAACTGTAAAAAACTTGAAATAAGTAACGCATACGTAATTATTTATAGATGCTTCGTCAACTTAAGACTGACGCTCACTTGGATTTATAATCGTCCAGTTGACGCTGCGTTTCCTTTGCAGTCATAGATCTGGTTTAGGGCTGTCAATATTCGGTTTTAGGTTAGCAAATGTCTTGTACATTGATTTATTACTGTGAATTCGAGCTGTTAGATGAATAATGTTTTTACTTCAATCGATTTTCATTCATTAAAAACAACTGATTTGTCTTATTACGAAAAGCGTGCGTAAAAGCGTCTTAGGTATTATTTTATTTAGTACCCATTTACACCGTAATAATTACGCAAATGATTCTCGATATATTCTGAAATCATTCCACTTACGGTTTATTGTTGCAAATAGTCTTATTTACAAAGCTAAACTGCATAAAGTTGGAGAAAAAAGTAAATTTAACTTTTTAAACTAGAATACCCACGCTCCCTCCGCCTCATCTAGGCGGGAGAAGTCATTTGATGACTTTCCCCCCTTAAAAAAACCTAACTGTGAGAAATAAAGACAAACCGTCTTATATCCTGGACTGCTAATCATTATCATATCCTATAAGTAGCCACTGCTAACCAAAAGCCTCTTCACACACGGAGAAGGTTTGAGCATTAATCACCACGCTTCCTCAAAGCGGATTGGCGGATTTAAATTAACACTAGGACTGTTATAACAATGACAAACTAAACCAATCAAGTACATTAACAAAAGCCAGAGGCCCTTAGTACGAGTTCTGAGTCTGCGCTCTGATTGGCCGGCTCGAATAAACAAACCAATTAGAGCGCCGAACGCGTACTCGTGTCGAATACTTTAAACGTAAATTAGACTCGTACTAAGGCCTCAGAAGCACAAACTCAAATAAATTCAAACTTCTTCACTAATAATTTCCCACGGAATTGAATGAGCAGTAAAACACGTTATTTGCTTCCAAAACAGCCATGACGGTAGTAATTAAATTTATATTAATTACACATTACCGTGTGAATTCCAATGTTTGCTTTATTTAAGGTTACTATGGCAACGAACTGGGAAGTCATTTTGCGAATTATCTTCGTCCTGCTTTATTTTGGATCGGGGTTAGAGGATGTGGTATTTGCATAATGTGTACGGAGCTTTTAATAGTGTTCGGTTATCATATTCGGATACGATGACTCAGTTAAACTCAGTTTATTTAACACTAGCAGCCCGTCCCGGCTTCGCACGGGGTAGACAATTATTTATTTTTGGAAATTTGTATTGTTGTAGTTACATAACTACAATAGTTGGACATATGCTACCGCGGAGTTTTTTGTAGACATTATGATGTTCTTCAATATTGTTGTACATTATTTCGTTCTATCGCTAATAGTTTCGGCAGCACATTCGACGAAAGACATTTTAAGACTCATTTTTCTACACCTTCGGTTACATTGTTCAAATTTTATTAATGATCCCTAATTTTTTTCAAAATGGAATGTGATGCCTATGTCAAATTTGAAGAATGTAGCATTCTATTGGTGAAAGAATTTTTTAAATCGGCCAGTACTTTTTGAGCCTATTCATGACAAACATACACAAATAGGTACAAATCTTTCCTCTTTATAATATTAGTATAGATTTATTATGATGTTATGTTATGAGTCCCATGTAATAGGAGATGAGCCTATTGCCATATACCGGGCACAATTCCAGACTCCTTGCTACTACTGAGATTTTTTTAAAAACCCTGTAGTATTATTATCCCGACCCGGAGATCATAACATAAATAGTGAAAAGTGGGTGTTACATTGTACAGTGGCACTAAGTGCCGTAATGTGCACCTCTGCCTGCCCCTTCGAGAATAAAAGACGTGTGTTATGTAATGTGATATTAAAATTAATACCGTTTAAATTTTTTATTAATTTTAATTAATGTTAACAAAATCTTATTATAAATATAACGCTACTACCTCGCGCCCCTATCCATATTCGTTTTACCGATACTAGTTTTCCAATAAGGCCATTAATATGTGCGCTGTGTACACTCGCGGAGTCGCAGGACATCCGCGCGTTGTGCGCCCGCCCTTAAAAGGATACTAAAATGCGTTTGCGCATATTCATTTTTTGAAAGACTTTTTTCTATAGGGATATTATCTGGTTTATTGGTTGTGCTAGGAGCAAGGAGTATTGTATTTCAATTGTTGGATTAGGCAAATTATAGATGGGGTTTTTGAGGAATTCTTAGCATTATAGACGTACTAGCGACCTGCCCCGGCTTCGCACGGGTGCAATATGCATGTATTATACATAAAAACCTTCCTTAAGAATCACTCTATCTATTAAAAAAAACCGCATCAAAATCCGTTGCGTAGTTTTAAAGATCTAAGCATACATACGGACATACAGCGAAAGCGACTTTGTTTTATACTATGTATTGATGATGAATGATAATTTCTTTCTGAAATTAAACCAGGAACCGAAAATTTGGGCTTCAAAACACTAAAACTTCTTCTTCACAGCTGTCCAACTAGTCCTTAAGTATAATACAGGGAGCTCTTACAAAATAATACTAAGAATTTTCATTTGCTTATATACCTAAATCAATAACTGATTCATAGGACCAAATCCTTATGCTCGTTTGTAGCTCTAATAACTATTCTACTAAAAAAAACAATCTCCATTTTTATGGAATAACCCGGTAAACGACCAGACGGATCACCTAATGGTAAGCAATCGGCGTCGCCCATTAACACCCGAACCAGAGGTGTTACAATTGCGTTACCGGCCTTTTGGTGATTATGAATTTGAGGATTGTTGGGGATTCAGGAATTCAGGGGACAGGCCTCCGATAACCTCACTCACACGACGAAACACAAAGCAAGCGTTGTTTCACGTCGGTTTTCTGCTCGGCCGTGGTATCACTCCGGTCGAGCCGGCCCATTCGTGCCGAAGTATGGCTCCCAATTACACTTAAACTTGGACAAAATTTGTACCACATTTAATTGACCCCAGGAAAATTCCAGGGAAGGCTAATCATACCTCCCTTTCTACTGGTGACTGTCAACCGTTAAACAGTACTCAACCTTACAAATTACATTTCCTTCACATGTCTATCATTTTCTTCGCGAAAACGTCTCATTTTAAAACCCGCATTTTGTTACAGTTAAGTACCCCCAACAATTTTCACACAATCCACATTAAACTCTATTCCACACAAGATATAACACAAATTACCTTAACAAATCTTTTGTTATCACATCCTTGTGTGATTGCAAAAGAATTTGAGCTGTTTTTCAATTGAGTAAAGTCGTGTTTTGATTGTTGGTAGACAAGTTTCGCGTAGGGTGTCAAACGAAGCGTGACGTCATTTTATTCAGTACAACGCAACATATGAGCGATTGATATAATTTGTAGGTCAATAAACTAAAGGAAATGGTAATGACATTTGTGGAAAATTATTTAATTTCAATCTTATTACTAGGAGTTAAGGTCTATTGAACTTAGGTATATGATTGACTGGGTCTGATGTTAGTGATGATTCTAAATAACTTTATTAATTGTTTTTTTTTTGTTGTTCACAGATATTGGATGAGCTGTAACAGTATATAGAGGTAAGCAGTGTACTCAAAATATCTACTAAACATCTAGTAGTGGTTTCTCCATAGTATAGAAACTCACTTTTTGCTGATCAATAATAATTTTACTCTTTTTACATTATTTCAAACAAGCTTTTTGACGTTTTTTGACTGACTTTGATTGACTGCACGGTTGGTGCGGTGGCTGGGCAACCGGCTGCCGTGCAACGTGTCGCGGGTTCGATTCCCGCACCGAACAACACTTTGTGTGATCCAGAAATCGTTGTTTCGGGTCTGGGTGTCATGTGTATATGAACTTGTATGTTTGTAAACGCACCTACGACACGGGAGAAAATCCTAGTGTGGGGCAACGTTTGAAAAAAACAAAGTAGAAAACGTTAAAATAATGTAAACGAAATGTGAAGTAATTATTTACCATTCCTGGCTAATTATATAATCCTTATAATAATATTTTTTCATAAAAATAATGTACAGTGACCAACGAGTAATAAATATAAATAAAAGTTAAATTAAGTTCCTCAATAAAAAATATATTGAAGTTTATATTAACCGTAGAATAATGTGGTATGGTTCCGTACTTATTTCCAGTAAGACATAGTATAACTCCCAAAAAGATTATGTTTAGCTTTTTTACAATTCCTATTTGTCTATGTATAGCAATTCCTGTAAGCCTAAATAGCAAAAAAATCTTCAATTATTATTCCTTTCTTTTATTTATTTACTAGCTTTTACCCGCAGCTTCGCGAGTCACAAAGGGATACAAAGTAGCCTATGTAACATATACCAATACACACAGTGCCATCTATACCAATTCTTTTGTTTTCACTCGGAAATATTAATTTTTCCGGGATAAAAAGTACCCTATTATTTAATCCGGACTTCTAACTTTACGTCTGCAAAATTTCAAAGCAATCGGTTTAGTAGTTTCGGCGTGAAAGCGGAACAAACAAACAAACTCACTCTCCGATTTATAATACTAGCTTTTACCCGCGGCTTCACTCGCGTCACAAAAGGATAAAAAGCCAATGTGACATATACCAATACACACAGCGCCATCTATACCAATTCTTTTGTTTTCCCTCGGGAATATTAATTTTTTCCGGAATAAAAAGTACCCTATTATTTAATCCGGACTTCTTCGCCGCGTCGCGGGTCGTAGAATGCTGCTTATGAATATGAGCCTCTACCATGGCTTGAAACTAGTCGAGTTCCCCGTCAAATAACTACGTGAGTAAGCCGAAAACATAATAACTAAAGTGTTGCTGTAATTGCATGTAAATAAAAAAAATAACACACAAACTACTGAACTTTTTTAAAAGTATAATGCAACCCTACCGCATGATCATGCTAAAAAAAAACCAAAGAACATTTTCTTCTACAACCCTAGAAAAAAAAACTTAACGAATAAGTACTTCATAATTTTCTACGCCCCGTAAACAACTCAGCCAGTCACTAACCCACCATAATATTATTATAATACGGTAAGTATAATTTCAGTTTAACAGCATATGATAATAAATTTTGCTCTCCACTATTATTATAAATAGTACGTATGTAGTGTTCATTTGTTTTTTATTTTATCAGTTGCCGTTGGATTTAATATACTACCTCATAATGTTGCTTTTTATCCTGTTCTATTTATGGTTTGATTAGCGACCCGCCCCGGCTTCACACCGGTGCAATATGCATGTATTATACATATAAACCTTCCTTAACAATCACTATCTATTAAATAAAACTGCATCAAAATCTGTTGCGTAGTTTTAAAGATCTAAGCATACATAGGGGCAGACAGACGGCGGATAGCGACTTTGTTTTATACTATGTAGTGATCAGTCCAGTAGTTTCCTGTGCGACTGTTGAAACAACATTGACTGCACGGTTGGTAGCGGGTTCGATTCGCACGAAGCAACTCTTTGTGTGATCCAAAAATTGTTGTTTTGGGTCTAAGTCATGTGTATGTGAACTTGTATGTTTTGTAAACGCACCCACGACACAGGAGAAAATCCTACAGTGGAGCAACGATTTTTAACAAAAAAAAACACGCACCAATAAATAGAGCTCGTTTACGAAACTGTCCGCAAAGGGCACCAAATATATTGTTCATGATTATGGGTCCTTGTTATGGCTCGAAACTTATCGAGCATCCTCCTCGTATAGCTGCATTTTGGCTCGCTAACTCCATATAAATAGCCACTGCGATCCAAATTAATCAATTGACAATATTTTCCCAAAAATCATATAGAATTGTACTTTCAGCACTTTCAGTATATTCGTCTGTGGTATATTATTATTACCTCTATTATTGACTCTTAAACTGTCAAACACCAAGCGGTCACCGGTGACCGCAACCTATTGTTCTATAATTGTATCTACAAAACCGGTACTCGACGAGTTAAATTCGGAACTAGCAAAAAATGAATTATAAAAAAAACCTCTTTGGTATTCATAGGACAACATTGAAGTCTTTGACTGCTGACATGTAAATATTGAAGGCAAGTCCTCCTCTAACATAGGTCAACAGTGATCTAAGCGGCGGTTACATGTTAAGCAATTTGGTACTGCAGATAGTAGGCACTATCTAACATCACATTAAAAAGAAAATTGAACAGGGCACGCTAGAGAAAACTGGGGGAAAACCTAGAATTAGTGATATAAGTAACATGATATGCTAAGTGACGAACAATTATACTAAACTTTCACTTTTTCTCAATAAACTGGTATATTTACATGTCATTTGAAATTATATCTTCAGTTATTGTAATTAGGTTTATTATGTGTTATGGTATATAATGATCATCATCAACAGACTGTGGGTTTCCTCTACGGAATACTAGGGTTTAACATAATGTTTATGCTTGTCAGGTGCATTTTTTTATGTAATAAGCCAGTAAACGAGCAGACGGATCACCTGATGGTAAGCAATTGGCGTCAAACATGGACACGCGAAACACCAAACATGTTAAAGTGTGTTACCGGCCTAAGGATTAGGAATTTGAGGATTATTGGGGATTCGGAGACTGGGGAGGGATAATTGGGTCTCCGGTAACTTCACTCACACGACGAAAGAAAACGCAAGTGTTATTTCACGTCGATTCTCTGTGAGGCCGTTGTATCACTCCGGTCGAGCCCGTCCATTCGTGCCGAAGCATGGCTCTCCCACACTTGATGGTTCAGGTTCATCAAAGAGCACTGCTGACCGGTCCCTGTTAAATTTATCCTTGCCTCAATCAACTCTCAAGACATTCATGGGAAAAAAGTTTTGATCGCAAATGTACTTTACTCTGTTGTCAAAGCCCGACTGAATAGGTTGCTTATGGACCAACGCACGTGGTTCATCGTAGACCGCATCATCGCTTACCACCAGGCGAGATAGTGGCCAAACGTCGACCCATCAAATGAATAAAAAAACTAGTTACATTTTTCTGTGACAAGTCCACCACGATCTCTTCCCAATCCTTTACAACTAGGCGGGAGCAGTCATTCGATGGTTTTCCCCCCTTAAAAAAAACCCTTTACAACCGCTGTAAGTCAAGATTTAGAAAAGATACAGTCAGGTAAACACCGAAACAATGAAGTCCAGCGCGTCCTAGGGACATGAACAGGAACATGAACATCCTAGGACAGTCGCGGAGAACCTAACGGGTAACCGGGGCTCCGGCTCGACGTGCAGGAGTAGGAACGGGGTGGTTTTTAGTCTGTAAGAGTCTGACACTCCCTCCCACCTCACCCAGATAGTTTCCCCCCGATGATTTTCCCCCCTTAAAAAAATAAAAAAACGGGGCATGAATATTGTCTTCGACCACGACACTGTTTCTTTCTTAACCCGAAACTTCTGTTTGTTATCTAAAAAGACAATGAAATAGTTTCCATTTCCATCCGTGAATTTAACGCAGGAGACAGTCACCAAACGACTTTTACGTAGGTAATATACTATATAATAAATAAACTATAACAGCCTTCATATAACATTTAAAACCCCTATAAATTAAGCACACCTCTGCTGATCCCTTCAGGGAATAAAGGTGTAATATTCTATTACACTTATTTTCCTAAAAATCCATTAAATGATACAAGTACCCATACTTGTAGCGTCGTTAAGCTACTTCCATAAATAAAGCGCTATAATTTATTGCTACGTCCTCACCAAGAAGGTTTTATTTTCGAAATAAAATCAATAAGTGTGGATTATTGTCTATTGCTAGTTGTTATAGAGTTACTTAGACACGTATTTTTTAATTTCTTACAAAAACAAATACTTTCTACGATATATTGATTTGAAATGTCACTTGACGTCACTTCTATGTACATTTTATATGTAGAAATGACGTTTTAGCCCCCACTCCTAAACTTTGATTCGTTTTGTCTAAGTATTGTTTTATTATACGACAAAATAAAAAATGCATGTATATTTTTACTTAACCTAAGTTACGGACTCATTAGATTTTTTAATTTTCATACCCTGTCATCATTTCAATTCTAGAAGCGTTGATATAGACATGTATTCACATGGTTTAAGCTACAATGTAACTATCACTTTTAGCTATTTGTGTTATGAATGAATAAATATATCATGTACTAAGGAGTCTAGAACCATTTTTGAATAACATAACATAACATGTCCAATGTCTGAATCCCCAATAATCCTCAAATTCTTATCCCCCAAAAGGCCGGTAACGCACTTGTAACGCCTCTGTTGTTCCGAGTGTCCATGGGCGACGCCGATTGCTTACCATCAGGTGATCCGTCTGCTCGTTTACCGGCTTATGCTATAAAAAGTGCACTTCAAAAACTATTAAAAGAATAACATTTCTTACCTACAAATTACACTCAAGCTATAAAAAGTTGATACAAAATCTTTGTAGCTTACATTTTTATGACTTTTATAAACCTATTCGGGTCTATTAATGCGTCGTAAAATAGCTCTCATTGCTAAAAGAATACGATAGAGAATTTATTGAGACTGTTTATAGTAATACTTTTAAATAAGTAACTTTAAAAAATGAGTTTTAAAT